GATTTTTTAAAGAATTTGTCATTAATAAATTGGAAAAAATTTTGGATGCAAAATATTTTATTGTATAAATGTGTGGTTGAAAATGAATATATTAAAAAATTTTGAAAATAATGATCGTCAAATAGCGCTTAGATTTGGGGTATTGATGATCCAATGCCTTTGGCAGAACATCAAAGAGTTTAAACTCGACATTGGTGGTTTGATTTTTGTCAAAACCTAATGAACAAAAGGCAAATATATGTATACACTCTACATGTATAAAGGGTCATTTTCTTTTACACACAGATTATCTTCTTCTTTGTAGTAAAAGTCTGCATTGAGTTTTGCTTAATATTACTTGTTGCGTTTATTATATCGCAAGTGTACAATATCGTAACAAGTAATATAATGGACATGTGAGTCTGAATTATTGTTCCTACGAGGACTATACTTTAGACCTTAATTAAATTTTTCTAACTCCTATTTGATGGAAGTAAACAAAGATTTATGCGTTGATGTGATTTTTTTATTTAAACACTTTAACTTAATTAAAATGCACAAACAGATTGGTTGAGATTTCAAATAATGGATGGAAATTAGGGACGAACAATTTCCACTATTATTACCTTTAAGTCATAATTCAAGATTCAAGAGCCTAGTGTAGTGTTCGATCGAATTCTTCTATGATATACAATTTACCACTCTTGAGTTCTCATTGAGCTTATTTAACTATTTCAATCACATATCTCAATGTGAATCTACCTTAGTTAAACGAAATATTAGTTCTAAGAATTCATGTATGATCGCAATATTCAGTACAAGTATCTCTACACGTTATACTAAATTACCGAATTATACTATGTGGTCTAAATCTCAAACTCACATCTCAATTCGTAAAAGATTCACAAAGTCATCAAATAGTGATCAAGTAACTTAATACATTAAACTCATGGTAAAATCAACACATGAACGATAAAATATCAAGAATCTTAAATAAAAGACATAATGTTTTCAAATCGATTACATCACCGAATTTTGAATATAGATGTAGAAAAAGAAATAAAATTTGCATCAAGATCTTTTTCTTCCAATCAATGTTTCAAAGCTTGAATTCCTTGATATTTTCCTATCTTGGATTGTGCTTTTAATCTCGTGTTGTATTTTTGTTTTCTCAATGTCTGAAACCCTTAAAATTTCCTCCTTTCTTCTATTTATACTCCCCTACATGATTTTCCAAAATTTGAAGTCTTTCTGGGCTTTTCAAGGCTCAAAACAACATAACCCTAAAATTTGTGGTGCAGCTCCTAGGACCGCGATGACAATAAGCACTATGGTTACAATGTTTGGGCACTACATTGCTGAAAATAAGCAGCCCTGTAGCGCTTGGGCGCTAGGATTCCAGCGTCTAGGAACTGAGTCGCTGTTCTAAATTTTGCATCTGTTTCAATATTTTTGTCATAACTTTTTCTGTCGTTATCTAATTAGGACAATTCAAAATGTGTTGAAAATTTAACTTAAAGGGCTACAACTTTGATAGAAATAGTGTTTTTCCAATTCGAATGTATACTAAACCAAAAATGGGTCTAAATCTACAACTGAAAATCTGAAACATCCTTGTGAAGTTGAAAATTGATTTGTGAGAATACTTGGTCATATTTCACTCCTTTTGACTTCTAATTGCCTCCATTTGACCCATAGCATTCTCGAATCTTCATCGTGAGTTTCAACACAACTTCTGACTATTTGCACTTTAGTCCCTAAACTTTGGATCTTGTAATTTTTCGCCAATTTTAACTTTTTTCTCCAATTCTTTATCAAACATAAAGTTTTACCTACAAAGATGCAATATAACATAAATTAGGAAGACATTTATTGAAAGAATAATAAAATATCATCATTTAGGGATTCGACTAAGGGTAGAAACTACACTTATCACTCCCCCAAACTTGAATCTTTGTTTGTCCTCAACCAAAACTAAAACCTAACAAACACAAAAACACGCCATGCTAATTACCTAATTGGTGGCCAATCAATCAAGTAAAGCAACAAGATTTAACTTGCTAACCTCACTTTTTATCTCCGGATTGAAATCATAGTAACAAATCTATTCACAACTTCAAAATCACAATACAAAAATTAAAATCCACTTTTCCATTTTAAAATCGACGTGTGTGTGTGAAAAATTAAGCATAGTATTATGAATTGATAAGTTGTTTCAATTCCCGACCCTCCATGGTTAAATATGTTCTTTCATCACTCGTAAAATTCACACATCCCCAAACTTATTATTTTCACTCTTTTTCAGTGTGTGAACTAATGTTGAATTTTTTTACTATCCCCACCTTTCTAGTTTGACAAAATTTCACCAATCGCAATTCAACATTTCAATAAATAAGAATTCTCCATTAAATTTGATTGCTNCTGTCAATTTACATTGTGCCTGCAAAAGATTGAACTTGGAATGGAATTCTCGTGTGCGCCGGAATTTTGAAGAAATTCTCCTAAACCAGTACCGCTAAACCAGAAGGTACATTCAAAATTTATCGTCTGTCTCACCCAATGCAATAGTTGTACTTTTAAGCATCAGCTGTGTAATGCTGTGTTTGGGTTTTGACATTAGTGCAGTGCTCTTTCGTTTGCCTCATTAGTGAAGTGTTCTATACAATTTGCACAGATGCACATAATGAAGTATGTTGGATCAATTGCACATATGCACATAATTGGATATTGCTGTTAGAAGTATTTGTTGGGAGCAAACAAAAAGTCCTACATCGATTGGGAGAAGAAAAGAAATCCGTCATTTAACTCAAGTGGGCTACTCCACCTATGGCCAATTGGTTTTGGGTTGGAATCTCACTTGGGCTTGATAATGAGGGCTTGGACCCGGTCAATTTGCTCATTATTTTCCCGACAACTGATGTCAGAGCCCAGTGTCAGAGAAACGCAGTAGAAAGCGTGGTGACGATCGAGTTAAAAATCATTTGCGTTTGAGGTGTCTTATGTCGAAAGTCTTCCTGACATTGGCGGTCAGGCGGCGGGTCCCATTTAGTCGAGGGCGACGGTAATATCGGCGGTAGAAGATGATTGGCGAATGGATTATCGTTTGAGAGAATGCAACATTGATGTGGTCCTTCGTTTGAAGGGAGGATTGTTGGGAGCAAACAAGAAGTCTCACATCGATTGGAAGAAGAAAAGAAATCCACCATATAACCAAAGTTGGCTATTCCACCCATTACCAATTGGTTTTGGGTTATAACCTCACTTGTGCTTGGTGGTATGGGTTTGAGCCCGGTCAATTTGCTCATTATTTTCCCTACAGTATTTGATTTCACTCATTCATTAGCAAGAAAGAAAGATGTGATTTTTCAACAGAATTTTCCATGACCACCAAGCATTTTGTTATCTGTTCTCTTGGTTTTCACCTTTCAGTTTAATTCGATCGTTTAGCATAATTCACTCTTTACATGTATTTTCTTAGGTGTATTGTGATGGTTTATGCATATGGAGTATTTTTCGAAGAACACATTTTTGTTAATTCTAGCTTGAATTTCGAAATTGTTATATCCTAATATTTTTTTGTTCATTTCATTTCTTTCTTTTTCGTTTGGTTTAGTTTTCTCTATTACAAATCCTTTATGGGTTTTCCAGATTGACTCTCTCTCTCTCTCTCTCTCTCATAGAGAAAATATGGTATGCTTTGTTGTGCACATAAGGTAATTATAAAGGTATTTATGTCGTTTTTCTTATTATCATTTTAATAAGGATTTTGCTGTTTGTAACAATAAAAAAAAGCCACAAGAAGTGATCGAAATGATGTGGAGGGAGAAAATTGGACAAAAAAGCTGACTGTGTTTTAAACTGACAAATAATAGAGTAGCATGTGTCATTATATAATCTTTGTTGTACATGTAATATTGTCCTTATAGTAAATAAGAAAATCATTAAGAACGTGGTGTAACAAAAAGTTTTTGCGTGGCAATATAATCAACATTTTTAAAAAGTGGATAAATATATAAGAATGGTGGATGAAATAGAATATAACTAAATATATGTTGTAAAAGGAAAGTAAATTAGGGTTTAGTGTGAATGACATTTGTACCCTTGCAGCCCTAGATATAATTACCATATGTATGTATCCCTATTCCTTCCATATAAATATAGAGCTTTGATTCTCATTATAATACACACAAGTTTATTGACTTCTCTTTTTCTATTTTTTCATAACACGTTATCAGCGCGAAAGCTTAATTCTTCAAAGTTCAAAAAAGGTAGTAATTTTTTTTTAACGTCATAATCTATCATATGTACCAAAATTAATTTGTTAACATGTAAATTTTTTTTATTCATACAAACACGTTAATTTGTGTGCATCTGAATTTTCTACAATAATTTATATGTACAATCATGC